TTTTTTTTTTTTTTGTTTTACATTAAAATAATAATAGTTTTGAATCAGTACTAATCCCAGAGAATAATCGTCTACGGCTGAATGTTTATGATATATTAATTCACGGTGCACATAGGCAGCCCAAAACGTTTTTCGTTATTTACGATATCAAATTTTCATATTTAATTCAAATCATTTGAATAATGTAAAGCGCTTTATTATGCGTTTGAACTCGTAATAAACATGTGAAAATAAACACCTGTCTGTAATTTATCAATATCATAAAATCTTGACTTTTATTTCTGCGTGTATACGTCAAACAAMAAATTTCTTCACTTATTCGTGAATAAAAAAAAAGTAGGTCACCGATTATATTATTGTTATTGTAAAGAATAATATAATATATATAAAATTATTATATAGTGTCATTCGTAATACCTATTATTTATTAATAATGGTTTTATTGTTTGAAATCAAGAACAAAAAAAAAATTAAAAAGCATTAAGCTCCATTCGTTGTAATAAAGCTTATTCAACTTTTAACAGTTTATTTTATATTTTCGAAAGTAAATAAATATTAGTGTAATTTTTTAATTGTTTACTAAATTATTTTAAATCATATTCGTTATAATACATAAATCTACAGGCTAAATGACCTTTGTTATTGTCGTATCCTCAACCCTAATTATAAATGAAAAAAAAAAATTATATATATATATACATACATATAAATATTATACATAACTAATCACACTATTCAATAATGTGTAAGTTTTATTTACGACAAATCATCATATGAAAACATGTGTTGCATTAACGATGAACCTATATAATATATATATATATATATATATATATTGAAAAGCGCAATGGGATAATAGGTGTTTTATTTTTTAATGATAGTAATAAATAATACTAATAACACTCGTTCCCAATTATGTTTTTATATTTATATATTTTTTTAAACAAATTAAATAATATTTCGAGTGCCTATTAAGTCACACCTGCCGATTAGCTGACATAGATTATAGATATAGATACTTATCAAAATAATAAAATCAATACGTCGCCGCCCTATGTCTTTAATAACAATATGTCTGCAGCTCCGTACACCGACAGGTTAGGTTAGCTAACCGACAGGATAATAATTATAACGATTACTTGTTGGATTTAGAGAAGTCGACCGCAGATACATTAGTTACATATTATGTTCGACACAGGTCGGTCTTATCGACCTTATAGGAAGAATTTGGTGTGGRTCATCGTATATGAGCTCGAATGACTCTAATAGACGTCGATTAGTGGTCAAAAAAATCTTTTTGTATCATGTGTTATTTTTAAATATTTTGTTTTTCCAGATTATTGTGAAAAGAACCTTCGGGGAACAGTGGCATGCCCAGAAATTTTCATAATTGGGGTGGACGTTATATTTTACGATAACTTTTTTTTAATAACTAATAAAGAGTATACTCTAAGACGGCTCTTTTAACGAATAAGTCGTTTTCTGCAGGTTGGAATTAGAAGACAATGGAGGGGGGRTATGACTCCTATCCTTCTCTCTCCCGAGCACGCCACTGACTGAGAATTTATTATACTTTTGGCCACCCAAAGTACCAACTAGATCCAATTTGCTTCCGGAATTCACCATCTATGGTGGTAACAGAAAGTGTATAAACTTAACGTACGTATAAGCGCACTGCAATCGCTCTTACAAACATGGTGGTTAAGTATTAATATGTATATATAAGTGTCGTAACAAAGCGCATTAAAGGCTCGTCGTAATAATGACGTCGGTCAAGAGCTTCGGTCACGGACACCTTTATAATAATTATAATTGCGAAAACTTGCCACCGTACACTACAATTTAATGCATAGGTTACATGGTTATAAACAAACCGTTATGACACGTTTGGTGTTCAATATTTCTTTGAGTGTTCGATATTATAATTTAAATCGTTACAAGTATTATACACCGTGGATGGGCGTTAAATGTGATTCATTGTCGAGGACACGATAGTACTCATAACATACTAATATTGTCATATTGACATAGTCCAAGTGTATCGTACATTAAAAATTAGTAAGTACCTACTACTTATACATTTATACATTATTATTAATATTATGTGTGTAAGCTGTATAAGCGTCAGTGGCTTATAAAATAAATATGTAGGTCAAAAACAGCCAAAAAGTGCTTCAGCGCGAGACGCGAGTGTGCGACTATAATGAGAATTGAGAATTATTATGTGGCGCAGGCAACCGAATGTTTGAAGATTGACTTTTTATTATTGGAATTGTTTGGAATGCCGAACAAAAATATTACAATAAAATCTTAGTTGCACAGTGCAAGCATATTTTAACCAATATGCTCAGAGTACCAGCAGTGGCCGGTGCCACTAGTTCTCGGATGGGTGACCCAGGCTCTTATGGTGACAAATCCTTACCACACATACATGTGTTCCAAACCAACCGCGTTCGCTCACCTACAATTAATAGCTAATGGCCATCGTTTCCGGGTGTAAAATCAGTTAGAAAAAAAAACACAATAAATTTATTAAAATATATATATATATATACATCGTAAAATATTCAACAGCAGCAGTGTGTAGAAATATCATGTCGGGCGAATTTAAATAATACTTTTGTGCGTGGATGCGCTTTTTCTATGATAAAATATCAGAATGTAATAGATATGAAAAAGTTCTTGAAAAAAAAAATAAAAAATGTTAAACGGATTACTTCGTCTGAATAAAATATAATAAATCGAGTACAAAATATGGCATTTAATGATAATATGACTGTGGGGAATTCGTATCTACTGTCATAAAAACACGCGATGACGACGACGCCAATGGCTTGACGTACGTTTCCCCACATATCACTTTTACCAAATTTTCTTTTGCCAACATTTAGTACGTCATTTGTTTGTATTTTTTTGACCAAACTCAGAATTTGTTTCATGTCGGTTCACCTCGGAAAATCGGTTTTCCATGCGGGGGGCTGCGGAAACGTTTCCATAGCCCCCCACCCCGTTAATTATTGACTTTTCGCAAATTTTCTGATGCCAACATTTAGTACGTTATTTGTCGGTTGTCGCCACGGCCCACAGTGGACTAGACAGACGGCAGCTCAGACTTATATAGTGTCTAATGTCTATCACAACTATGTTCGATCTATAGGTACAATATTATTACGTGTTGGATAATATGATACCTACACCGCGGTGTGCCCACGTTAATACAACCTACACTTTGATACTTTTCATTTATTTACACTTCCGAGTTGTTATTTTTGTTAAGCTCTGGTCGTCATATTTTCTCGTTATGTAACTGTTATAATAATTTWTTTTTTTTWWTTTTTTWWTKAGATTTTTACCAAACATAACTACCATTCACTATACGTTCAAATAGTAATATTATGACATTCCATATCACCAATTCTGCGGTGTTAATAACCAAATACGAGAAATGCGCTGACATTATATTATGCAGCATCGTCGACTTGGAAACTGCGTAAACATCGAATTTATAATTGACCGATACGTAGAACAATTTGCCTACACATCTTTCTTAACAGTCCATCCAATGTTATGTAGGTGTGACATAATCCTGCTGACGCGTTACAAAGTTTGTGAAATCCGCAAAGATTTCGTTAAAAACTGGCGTACCGTATATTTTGCGATATTTTTATTTTTTATTTTCGTCTCAATTTTCCTGTGTAAAGCGGTACTAATAATAGGGGAAAAAAACACACACACAAAATAGTTTTTTCTAAAGTATACGAGTAGGTGGGCAGAACTTAGGTATTTTCAATCCGTATACTCAGATAGCTATATAAGGCGGCTATATACTTATATTAAACTATTTTCTCTCTATTTGTAACCCTATGGTCATATATTATATAATATTATATACGAAAAAACGTAAATATTATATACGTAAAAATACCTACATAATTATTGTTAAATCAATACATTCCTCGTTTTGCCTTAAATCTACAAAAGACAATAAATTATTCACCTATGGYCGTGGGCTCGTATATTATAACATCGATTGTTTGTTTTCGTTAGGAGTATAAATAAAACATTTTTACTCAGCCGTCATAATAATGAGGTTTACTACGGGACACGCGTATTTCGCTCAACAATATTAYAGACTTAAATGTAACGAAACGTATGCGTATATTTATAGAGATTGCGACAACACTATTACCTGCACGTATATATGTAAGTTATGAGATGCACGTCTTCACTCCAACTATTAAATAACGACTTCATTAGTTTTGGTTATTTTYATTCTTTTCTAAAGCAACGATTTTAATAAATATACGTTGCGATTAATACTCAGTAGACAGTAGACAGTCCACGTTGAAACATGATTTCGTGTTCAAACTTTTAAGCTCGTATACGGTTTACGTGGAATGTTTTGTACATTTCTTCAACCACCCTCCTATCCGTGTGTTGCTGATTGCATTTTTTTGTTTTGTTTCCATAATATTTATGTCGAACGCGGAATTCGTAGTGATCACATTTTTTCGCGCATTTCACTTAAACATTTTGTAAAGAACGTAAAGATATTTATATGTATATA